ATCATCTTCCATTCTATGGCATAATGAGTTTAATCGGTAGAAACCGAGTTTGAACGGTTAGAAATGAGAATGAGTGGTAGGATTTAGTCGAGGAATGTTGGGTTAAGGCTACCGAAACGAGTTGGGATTGAATCGGGTGGATTTCGATGATTTTGGAGTTTTGGACAATGGGGAAATTCTGGGTTCGCAGACCCTCGCTAGCACGTTCTCTAGGCGAGCGGGTCACGAGCATTCGCTGGGCATTCGTTGTGGCGAGCCAGTAGCGAACAGTCCCAGACTTGGGCAGTATGGTTTTGGGTGTTCTTCGCTTGTAGCAAAGGGGGTAGTGAGCATTCGCTGGGCATTCGATGTGGCGAGTAGGGTAGCGAATCAAGTTAGTGGCTTCTGATTGCCTTCGCGAGCTTGCTCGCTAGGCAAACAGGTAGCGAGCACTCGCTAGGAGCTCGCTAGGCGAACAGGGTAGCAAGTGTGACAGCATGTTGTTTTCTTGTGTGTTCCATTCAATTGTTAATTGCTTGGTTCAACAATGTTAATCCTTATGCAACGTGAATAGTTTGTGTGTTATTATGATGAGACGTGTTGTGGGTAGCCTTATGGAGTGAATCCTAGATTGTGGAGTATGGTCTTTTGGAAATTATATGCATCGTTTGAATTAAACATGAATGCATGATGAGTGTGATGATGTGTGAAGTATGCATGAGAATATATGCATATGTTAATGATGTTGTGAATATGTGAGCGTGCGAGATTCTTACTCACTGAGGTAGAATAACAAGGTGTCGTTCCTAGTGTAGTAATCACCGGGGTAGAATAACTGTGATGTTGTTCCTGGTGGGGTATATGTGTTGTACCCATAATCCAAATGAGGATTTGCGAGAGTTGAATAGTTTGTATGAGTCATATGGTATGTGTATATGATTGTTGTATGAAAGTGTGAAATGTGGCCGTTTGGCAATTATGTGTATAACTGTACGTACTTATGTGGGGTAATGCGTAATTGAATATTTTTGTGTATATGTATGTATTTCAAGAGTGTGTGGAGTCGTTGTGCGTGTGTAGCATCATGATTGCATTCTTGTGTCTTGATCCCGTAGAGGATCTGCAGAAACCTCGTGTGCCCTTGCGGGGTGTGAGCGATGGTTTATTCTTGGTCCCGTGGAGGATCTGCAGAAACCTCGTGTGCCCTTGTGGGGTGTGAGCGATGGTTTATTCTTGATCCCGTGGAGGATCTGTAGAAACCTCGTGTGCCCTTGTGGGGTGTGAGCGATGGTTTATTCTTGATCCCGTGGAGGATCTGCAGAACGATTGTGTGCCCTTGTGGGGTGTGAGCAATCCTGAAACACCGTGTGCCCATGTGGGTTGTGAGCGATGGGTGAACATCGTAGGCCCAACGGGGAGTTACTTCGGTAACGAGCGATGGTTCCTTTTGGTTCTTTAATTGAACCTGCTGAACGAGTCGGTACCGCATTTGCATCTGCATAGAGTCGTGAGTCGGTCTCTATGAGTTGCATTATCATCTTTATATGATGCATTGGTGAAATAAACATGAATATAAATGTTTATGTGAATTGGTGGAATAAACATGTTATGTGTGTTTATGTGAATTGATGAATGTGTTTAGTTAGGTAAACGTATGTTGTGACATATATGACGTTTAAAGTGTATTGTGGTGAGAAAATGTGGAACATATGTATTTTGTATTTATGCATTTATATATGATTATATGCATTGTTATTATGATAATATTTCTCACCCTTCTGCTGGAATGATGTCCTTTATAACATCGTGCAGGTATCAAGGCGTAGTACTGCTCGTAGTTGCGAAGTCGTTATTGGTGTAGTTGTTTAGTGATTTAATTTTATTGGGTCGAGTCATGCTCTGGTCATGTAACACTAGGATCGTTTGAGTTATGTTTCTGATGTATTTTGTATTGTTGGCCTCCGTGCCTAAGTGAGACAATTATGTGATAAAAGTAAATATTTCTTTTATGAAAAATTGTGATATAAATAAATCTGTTGTTACATGCAAATGAAATCTTGTAAAGTATGATTATTTATTTCAGTGTTATTGAGCATGACATATGGTTTTTAGTAAATTGGAAGTATATGTGTGATGTTCTTTGTGAATGCATGTTAATTTTACTCTGATAATGCCTATTTTCCGTGGGGTTTAGAAGGGTGTTACATTTTCTCTTTATTCCATTTCCTCCTGCCACGCCCATGGTGATGGATGAGTTTAAGTTTAATAGGGATGTTCATTTTCATCTCTCTTGGCTCTAAGAGAGGTATACAACACTGGCGGAATAATCGGAATAGTCTATGTATGAGACAACCCTTAAGGTATACATGTTATATCTTGTAGAGTGTATTATCTTAGTGGATAAGTCTCATGTATATATCGATGTCAGATACATGTCTCTGTTTGTTGATCTTCACCATGTCAATTGTGCATGGGGGTGCTGCATTGATTATAATATATATTGCACTTGAAGAGGCGACTGTCTTTGAGACGAGGCAGTTTGCTGGTTATATGAGTCTATTTCAGTTTCAAGTATAAAAATGTATTATGTCTTATTACTTTAGTTCTTATTTATGACATTTGCTGATTTGGATATGTTCTTGTGCAATGTTAGATATACGAGCATTTCCCATTCATTTGTGACAGACGTGTTAGTGGTCCTACCATCGATGGCTCCCCATGGGCCAAGAGATGGAGGGTCAAACATTCACATTCAGGCGGTTTCAAGAGTACATGCAGAGGATCAATGCGTTGATCATAGAGATGTCATCTAGACACCCTACGCAGACCGTGTAGTGCATTAGAAGTTTGATGACACTTTTTCTGGTTATCTGTGGCGGGATAGTTTAGTGGCTAGATACTTACATAAAAGGTGTTTGTGTTAGTTCTTATTATGCCAACTGAATGCATTGATAGATGGTTTGTGTCTAACATTGTCGATTGTGATCATGCTATTACAAATCATGTCGTAGAGGTTCAGTTCCCTGGATAGTGTGTGAATGGTTACTTTGAGTGATACTTTACAATATCACACCCTCACGTCATCCTACCTATTCAGCATGCGAATGATGTTGAACCTTCTGGAGCTACGAGACCTTATGATGACGTGTCACCGCCTTCACAACCTCCACCTAGTGTTGTTGACCAGCAACATCTATAGATGATAACAGTACTTACAAATAACTTAACAGGCTTGGTAAACCCAGGTAATAAGGTTTATACTTTGACATCACATATAACACGCATAGCATGTGGGGGACCTGTGTAGATTTTATTATTTTTGTATTATTTGTATATTGTTAACATTTTAACTTTAGAGTTTATTAGATAAACATTTAACATTACATTATTGCAGGATTAACATAACTTAACAAAGACAATACAATAATAAATAACAAAACGTAAATATTATTAGATAACTCTGGATGTTTCAACAACTTGCTTATATCATCAACAGATCTAGCAATTGTCCCATCAAATTTGATTGTTCCCTTTGTTGGCCTAGATGTTATGTTCTCCACAGTTCATATAATCTTCAAATCTTCATCACTCTTCAACTCAAAGTTGTTGTATTTCACATTTTCTTCAGTATCAATTGATAGTGCACGAAGCTCGATCTTAACCACCTTTTTGTTAGTGTGGGGCAACAACTTATTCAATTTGGATCTCAGAATAACGAGAGTAGCGGTGTCCTCAGAGAGCCGAAAATCAATAGGAGGTTTCACGTCGTTGAAGTACACAACTGTCAGATACGAATATTAAGACATTCTAATATGTTTTTTTTAACATGCAAATCCATATTTAGACAAGTTTTAATTCATTATGGACCACACATTATTTTCGGTGCAATTACAACTGTACAAAATTATAGGCAAAATCTCAACCATTAAAATTCAAACCACCAGGTGTTTTATAGTCATGCTAAATATTCGGTAATCGCATGATCTTTTCAAAAAATCAATAATATAACATTGTCGGATTTTCACTATTATGAAAAAACTCTGGTAATCCATGGTATTATTTTAAAGGTATATTTTTCCACGCACCGGTTATATATAAAACCCGATAAAAATGCATACCAGACTTTTATACTAACCTACCAACAAAATTATTCATACCGTATTTTTAAGTTCAACTACCGAATTTTTCGTGCGATATTTATGTATAAAAAATTGACAGCATATTTTTGGTATTATAGAAAATTGAGGGATGCCGGATCCAAAAGGGTGGAAGGACAAAATCTCCCTCAAGAGCAAGACTGCAGATGGACAAAGCCAAACCCAGGGACATTGAAATGAAACATAGATGCTGCATTATTGGCCAACCAAAACTGCAATGAAATTGGAGCTACTTTGAGAGATGATAAAGGATCACTGATCTAAAGCCTTACAAGTTACAACATATCAAGTAGGCATGCCATAGCTGAAGGAGGTCGAGGCAGAAGCATGTTGATGGCATTAAAATGGCTTCAAAGTCTTAACTGTTGACGAATGATTATTGAAACTGGCTGTCTCCAAGTTGTGCATTGTCTGTCAAATAGGAACAAAAACAGCAACACAAGTACTAATAGGCCTACATTTTAGAGTTTAAAGTCCTTACTTTAGTTGCAGCTTCTTGAATCAGTCCTAAAGAATAAGGGTCATACTTTGAAGTGATCAAGTATATACCAAGAATGCAGAAGAATACATCTAGTAATTTCTTGGAAAATGGTGACTCTAACAAAGTGAAATCATGGATAAAACTAGTGTCAATTTGATGAAAGTTGCAGACTCTATTAACTTCTGTAGTTAAGTTAAGTTGTATCCAAAGTATAAGTTTTTAAAAAGAAAAACAGAATACAAGAGTCTAGATAAGCATGTGTTACAATGTTAATCATAATAAGAAAAATGTAAATGCATTTAACTTGATTGTAATATGAAACTTTACTCATAAAGAGTAGATTCCGACGACGAAATTTCAATTCAATATGTACTCTATTTGCTTTAGAGTTTCTTCAGTGTTGCTTTCAAGTGTGGCTGAAGGGTAACTGTATTGGTAGCCATCTCAACCTCATAACAAAGATTCCCTTCTACGAGCCGAAAACATCTTTGAATCCCTGTAACCTGTTTCGAATGCATACAACAGAAAAACAGAATAAATCACTGGTTGATTCATTTCAGCCACTACTTTCTTCTTTTAGCATTGGACACAAATATAAGAAAAAAAGTAGTCATATTTGAACATTTCGATTATAAACATGATACACGAGATATTGGTATTGTTGTACTTGCGAAAAACGATCATGTTAAATCACCTTGGAAGCATTTCCCACAAGTTCACTCTGAAGCTGTATCACTTTCTCTTCAGTGTTATATGTCCCTTTCTGGAATTTGACAGCAAAAAAGCGATATTTTTTAATCAAAACTAAATCAACTTTAGCCTTCAAATCAAATCCATAATTTCTAGCATACCATATAGAATATAGATACAAAAACAAATATGAATGAAAATAGTCAAAAGCAGTGTATCCTTGAAGTACCTGAACTTCAACAAGACCATTGCTTTGAGCAATGACAACTTCAATGGTTCCATCAGGTTTAGGACGCCAGTATCCACTCTCAGAATGCATAGGCTCTCCAGAACTGAGTTTCCATGTCTTCTGAGTGTACCCTATCACAGGCTACACCCATTTCACACAATCAATACATAAAACACATAAGCACAACCAAAAAAACCTACCCATTAATAAAAAACAAAACTTTGAGAGACCCAAATGAGATTTATAGAGAAAGAAAGAGAGAAAGGAAAACCTTGTTAGGTGGATGATAGAAGTGAAGTTCTTCACCATAGGAGAAGGAATTGATGGTGGGGTAGCCTCCTTCTCCTTGTCCTCTCCATGTTCCGAGAAGATAAGAGAGTGGTGCCACTGATGGGTGATAAACCGGCGACGAAGATTCCGGTGCCGGAGAGTCAATGTTTGTGTCCATTTTTTCTTTTATTTTTATCTTTGTAGAGTGTATGAGAGATTGTAAGGTATAAAAGTAACATCACATAAAATAAATAAATATGCAATATTTATTTCAAAATAGTTAGTTTTTCTTTCCTAAAGATATTTGCTGTATATATATGTGTATATAACCAAAAGTGTTCTTTGATTTTGCCAATGTTTCTTGTTGTATGCATATTGTTTTTTTCTTTGGGCAAAGAGAAAATACAAGTTTCTTTGAAAGATTTTGAAAAAGTCATTGTGATTCATGGAATCAAGATCACAATATTTAAAAAGAGATTTATTTTTATCAATATTACTATGTAAAGCATATCGATTTTAAAGAAGTATGATTACTTTGACCGGAAACATGCTTGCATATTTTATGATTCAAATGTAAAATTATTTAAGAATACTAATGATATTGTTAGAAAAATTGAGAATGTGAGCATCATTGACAGTCTTAAGTATACCACTAATTGTAATAGACTCGATATTGCATATGTCGTGAGAATGTTATGTGTGTTTAATTGTAGATCGAATAATGAACATTGACGTGCCATTGAAAGAGTCATGCAATACCTTAAAAGGATCATGAATATTGATTTACATCATCAAAGATTTTCTGGTGTACATGAAGGATATAGTGATGCAGATTAGAATATCTTATTGCATGGTTCTAAAGCAACTAATAGTTATATATTCAGTATAGCTAAAGGAGTTGTATTTTAGAAATTAATGAAACATACTATATTAGTTCAATTCACGATGGACTCTGAAATGATATTATTAGTGACTACTAGTGAAAAAATAAGTTGGTTAAGATGTTTGCTAGTTGAGATTCCTTTTTAGAAAGAAAAAAAAACATATGTCAGTTATATTGATCCATTGCAATAATACTGCGACAATTTCAAATTTTGAGAACTGTTAGTATAATGGTGAGAAACGTAAAATAAGAAGAAATCATTGGAGAGTGTATCTCTAAAAGAACTATAAGAAGGGATCTTAAGCGTATTGATGTAAACTTAGCAGATCATTTACAAAAGGATTACGTATAGGGAAAATCCATAATACATCCATTAAGATGAGGCTAATTCATAAAAGTGAGTCAATTATTTGCGATGATAACCCAACCTAAAAAACTAAAGATCACATGAATTAGGTTCAATGAGTAATGACAACTAATGAGCAATATGAGATGATCATGCTAGTATAAATAAGAGAAACATGAATTCTGAAGCAATATAAGAATGAGATAAGAGAAACTCTTAATGAGATCTATACTCTGCATAAGTAAAGTACTTAGCTATATAAATGCTCCTAATAAACTCACTTGTGTGATTGTCGTACTTATAACAACTAGGATATACATGTAGGTTTATTAAAGAACTTGCTTATAGAATATATCCTAAGAAAAAGATGTTTCTAAGTTTGATGTTTGAGATAAAGTTCATACGAGTCACTCTTGTTGAATTAAAATCTTACTTACTATGCAAAGATTCAAGTCGTAGACACATTTATTTATACACAATCTTATGAATATTTTATGTTAACTCTAAAATACTTTTTTAAATTTAAGTGAGAGATTGTTGGAACATGTCGAAATAATTCCTTAAATCTCACATTGTTAGAAAGGTATGTGTGTTTCTATGTTAATTGAGAAAGACTATATATATCTCACATAGCTTAGCTTACACACTATATAGTTAGTTTTTAGTATTATATAAAAACGAAAAAGTTATAACTATGCTTAGATTACATAACTTGATTAGCTTATTTCATTATATAAGAAATGCACATGTTTCATTTCAAAATACACTTAAAACTACTTCATAGTTTTTCCTTTCTCACTCTCTTTATTTTGTCTTCTTGAATTGTCGAAGCGCCAACTTTTTTCCTTTTTTTTTCTATTTATTGAATCTTTCAAGTATTTCTTGGATTCTCTTTGGAGAATTATATAAATTTCTTAGTTCTATAAATTATTTAGAATGATCAAATGACCATTATTGAGTTCTCTTTTCCAAAGTATTTGAATTTCTCTTCGTTCAAGAAATTACTTAGGATGATCAAACAATAATAATTTGAGGGTGTAATATTTGATCAGATATCTACAGTGTAGTAGTAACTGTAACATTTTGAACTAGGTTGTTTTATTTTGGAGATGTCGTGGTTGATCGTCTAACTGACACAATTTGTGAAGTGTCGCAAAACATCTTAAAAAGAGTGACCTAAGATGTGACTCGACCATATAATTTCTTCAATGTCATATTTTAAAAACTAAGTTTTAAATTAAAAAAAAATTAAGAAGTTTCTAAAGTGTCATGGCTATCGAAGAAATTATTGGTACTTCTAATATTGTCTTTGACAAACCGTTCAAATTTGAAGGAAGTCATTTCATACGTTGGTGACAAAAAATTTATTTTCTTAATATAAAAAAGATTGCAAATATTTTGACCGGTGACATTCCTATTGTTGCTTATAGATCAATTGAATAAACTAATGGTAAGAAATTTGTGGATTCATATGGAATCGTTAACTCTGTTGAAACTGAATCTGCTACACATGTTAAAGAAAGGATTTACAACTATGGAAAAAAACCTCCTTATAGAAAGACAATGATTATCTATGTAAAATTAATATTTTGAATGAACTCGCAGATGATCTGTATGATTGTTACCATAATTGCAATATTGCAAAACAAGTTTGGGAGTCTATAAAAAAGAAGTATGATACATAAGAGGAAGGAGTAAAGAAATATGTTGATAGTTGCTACTTGAAGTATCAAATGGTAGACGAACAGTTTGTAGAAGATCAATGTCATAGACTTCAAAATATTGCTCACAAAATTGTCACTAAAAGTATGCCGTTAGATGAACAATTTAAAATTGTTATTGTTGTTGACAAATTGCCCCTTGATTGAAAATATTTCAAAAAATGTACTATGTCCCAAAACAAAATAACTTTCAATCGAGATTCTTGTTACTCGCCTCGCAATTGAAGAAGAATTTGGGAGGCAAGATCAAAATTTGAATTCTTGATTGTTTCAAACAAAAAAAAAGAAATTCGGCCAGTTGTGAAGCCATATGGGAAAACATTAAAGAATTAGAACCGCAATGCGGTGAACCGAATTAAGAATGAAATTCCTTCTAGTGCCCCCATTGTAAGACAACAACCATCACCTTAATAAAATGACATTGGTGTTTCATCTTGCTTCAACTGTTGAAAATCATGTCATATGGATAAGAAACATACAAGTAAGCTTAAACCTGTTGATGCCCGTTAACCTGAAAGATGAGAAATTTATTGCTATGGTCAGCGAAATCAACATGGTTGATGAATTTGATTATTGGTGGATTGATATTGATGTCTCTCATCATGCCTCTTATGATCGTGATATGTTCAAAGCATACGTGAATGCTGAAGATTAGAAAGTGTTGTTGAGAGATACTCACACGACTAACGTTGTTGATATTGAAAACGTGGAGCTAAAATTCAACTTCAGTAAGACTTTAATCTTGAAGGATGTCATGCATAATCCTGAAATTATAAGGTGCATTGGGGAAAATTTGCACACAATTACTAAGAATGATATTTTTGTAGGGAAAATGCACGCCACTTATGGCATGTTTAAGTTAAATATTGAAATGGATAAAATGTCTTCTTCTATTTACTCTTTTTTGTGATTTTAATGTTTTTGCATGCTATACCGTATCATGTTAATAAGATGTTATTTCTAATTTAAATATTTTAGGCGTAGTACCAAAATTAAATGTAAATGACTTAGAAAAATGTGAATTTTGCATTCAACCTAAAATAATTATGACTTCACATAAATTGATAATAAGAGAATTTGAACCTTTAGATCTAACACCTTCTGACTTATGTGAACTTGATGAAACTTTAACTAAAAACAATAAATGTTATTTCATCACTTTTATTGACAATTGCTCTTATTATACTATTGTATGCCTAATGAAAAATAAAAGTGAAGTGCTTGACATGTTTGAGACTTTTGCGAATGAAATTGAAAATCAATATAGTAACAAAGTTTAGAGGCTTCGTAGTGATAGAGGAACTGAGTATGATTTTAATTCATTTAACGAATTTTATACAATATGAAATTATAAATCAAACCACTTGACCATATTCTCCTGAGATGAATGGTAAATATGAAATAAATAATAGAACTCTTCCTGAATAAGTCCTTGCTGTTATGTTGAATTCTGGTGATGCATCTCACTAGCGGGGGGATTTTATTGAATCTTTGTTATGTCCTGAATAGAGTTCCATATCTAAAAATATAGTCCTTTCTTATGAGATAGTGAAGAAATGACAACCAAACTTGTCTTAATTCAGAATCAGGGGTTGTTTGGCTTAGTCATGATTTTAGACCCGGAGCGAGTTAAACTCATTAATAGAGCCTATGAATCTGTATTAATTTGGATATGTAATAAACAATAAGGCGATTTTATGACCTTAAATATAAAGTGATCATAGAAATCAAATGATGTTTACTTATATGAAAATAAATTTCCTTTTAAATCGAGAAATAGTAGGGACACTGGATGGAATCACATTTATGTGATAAGAACAGTGAAAGCAACATGAAGGAGAAACATAACTTCAAAGAAGTAAGAGAGCGATATTTGCTAAAGACTTTGGACTCGATTATGCGATATATATTTTAGAAAAAGAACTAAAAAATCTTAAAGAAGTATTGTCATCTCTGGATGCAAATTTGTAGCTAGAAGTTATTACTCATGAGGTGGATTCTCTAGAATCTAACAAGATCACGTACTTAGTAGACTTGTCTCCTGGTTGCAAACCAATAAGTTGTAAATGTTTTTTTAAAAAATAAACAAAAACTCGAAGGTACAACTGATAAATAAAAAGTTCGGCTTATAGCCAAAGATTTTAGGTAAAGAGAAAATATAGATTTCTAGCTAAGATCTCTATGTGAAAATACCTATGACAACTATATTCATCCATAGTAATAGTACCGCGACTATTTTGAAAATTGAGAATCATTAATATAATGATAAAAGACGTCAAATAAGAAGAAATCGTAACATTGTTAGAGAGTGTAACTCTAAAGGAATTGTAAGGGTGGATCATGTACGCACGGATGAAAACTAAATACATCATTTACTAAAGAATTAGATAGAGAGAATGTCCATAATACATTCATTAAGATATGGCTAGTGCCTATTGACATGTGAGTTATTAATGATGATAATCCCACCTAAAAAACTAAAGATCCAATGAATTAGGTTCAATGAATAATAACAAGTTATATGTTATTATAAATAAGAGTAACATGAAAACTGGAATGATAAGACGATGAGATAATAGAAATTTTTAATGAGATCTATACTATATACGAAGTGAGTATCTAACTATAAAAGAGCTCTTTACAGACTCACATGTGTAATTGTGGAACTTAGGACAACTCGAATAGACGTGTAAATACATTTAAGCAATGACTTGTATAAAACATCTCAAGAAAAGATTGTGTGTGAGTTTGATGTTGCAGATAAAGTTCAAGATTATAAATCACTCTTGTTGAATCAAAACCTTACTTGTTATGCAAAGGTTTAAGTGATAGACACGTATGTTTATTCAGAATCTTATAAACATACTATATTACTTATGAAATATTTTTTTAAAATTCAAGTGAGAGATTATTAGAAAATGTCAAAGTTTAGATTTGAAAAAAATTCTTAAGTTTCACATTATTAAAAAATTATGTGTTTTTATATTAACTTAGAAAAATATTCTATGTCCCACATAACAGCTTTCACACGATAATTAGTTTCCAATTATATAAAAAAATTCTAGCTCCCACATTGCTTGAATTATACAACACAAAGTAATTTATTTTATGATATAAAAAATGCACATGTTTCGATATAAAACACCCTAAAAATACTTTATAATCTTTCCTTCTTCACTCACAATATTATGTGTTCTTTAATTTTCAAAGTACCGACATTATTCTTTTTTTTCCTTTCTTTCTACTTGTTGAATCTTTCGAATATTTCTTGAATTCTCTTTAAAAGTTATTAGAATTTTACTTTGTTCATAAAATTATTTAGAATGGTTAAACAACTATTATTAAATTCTCTTTTGAAAATTATTTAAAATTTTCCTCTTTAAGAGAAATTACTAAAGGGTGTAACTATTGACCGTTATCTACCGCTCATTAGTAATTGTAGTAGTTTGAACTAAGTTATTTTATCTTGGAACCAGCCATGGTAAATCATATGCCTTGCACAATTTGGACTATATAGTAAAACGTCTTGAAGAGAGACTTAGCCTACAACTCAACTCTGTAATTTCTTCAGTAATATTTTCAAAACCATTTGAAAATTTATACAATTTGAGATGCAAAACCTACTTTGTATATTTTCAAAATCAAAAAACATCAATTACTAAGTTACCTATGTAAATTCATGTATAAGTTTTTAATTAAAGTCAAGGTTTCTAGTTCTTTGGGAAAAAGAATTTAATTTGAGATGCTAGCTGTGTTTGTCTTTTCCACACAAGTATACAATTTTGTTAACGTGTTCTTACATGTGCAAAACTGGTACCTAGAAAATGAAAACAGTGTAACCACTTGATATACAGAACATAAGACAAATCCTACACTAGATCACTGAATGAGTAACATCCAATGTTGGATGCTTTTACCTTCCATATGTACAACAATCACTATTAAAATAAAAATAATTTTGTTTGAATAACATAATGAATAATAGCTAGCATGATTGACTTGGTTTTAAAATGAGTGTCTTATAAAAGGCACGGTAAAGATTTTTTCCAGCAATAATGAACATGGGTAAATTGGTTGTATATTATATATATATACTGGTATTATTGTTTTGTCCATTCTGTCAATTATACACAATTGTAGGTAAATATGATTTTTTTTATTTACAAAAATGCATCACGGATTAATCGCGCGAATACCCGAGAAGATAATCTGCTAAAAACATCAGGAAGCACTTTAGTAGAAATACCCGGCAACACTGGCAGAAGTTCTTGGATAATCTGAGGAACATTGAGTGCCTAAGGCGACCCGCAAAGAAATAGATAAATAAGTATGCTGAACATTATTATGCTAAACTAAATTAATAAATAAGCATGCACTTATTTGTCGCAAAAAATACTTATCTAAACCAAAAGTGTACACATTACTTTTAGCAGTAAAATTTTCATTACCTGACTAGATGTGCTTTGACTAGATATGCTTGACAGAGAACTTCCTGCAGTCAAGAACTCCAGGACTTTCTGGACATTGTTTAGTATAATCTTATCCTCTTCGGTTATGGTGGGTATAAGAGCTGCGGGCTTAAAGCGTCCAATAGTAGGTACCATATTAAAAATAGGGATTGCATTCTGAACTCCTAGTAAGGACATTATTTTTACCAGTTGTTCCCTAGTTACTGCATCAATGCCCTTAACAATCTGTTTTCCACCAGAAATAATGAGTCAACTGATTATAACTCTCCATACATCAATACATGCATAGCAATGAGAAACCAGCATTCATTCATAATAAACTTTAACACAACAAATATATTGCATTAGTGCTAGCTCATTACAGCAGGAAGTAATGGGCATTGACAATCCAAGACGACTCGGAAAGACTATAAATGTTCAATAGTGCTATCAACAACAGTTTATGAAGACTACTGTCTCGCGCCCAAAAAAATAACTTCTGCACAATAGGGAGCACGGCAGCAGTCATACAGAAGCTTTTTCAGATAATTTCACCAAAGAAAAAAGAAGAAAAACTAATAGAAGCACACATGATAAAAGCAACATAATCCGAAAATAAGTGATCCCAGAAATAACAGGGTACCACAAGTTTCGGCAAAAGTAATGCCTCCATGTGCAATTTTACCACAAGTTACATATAAGTATAACATAATTAATCTCAGGAGTAACGAGGCACCTTGGCAAAATTTTCTTAAATCAAATTCGTGTATAAATAAATAGCTATACTACTTGTTATCAGACTTAACTAAGCTAGTATAAAATTTACAGACATTGTAAAAATATTTACACAATCAATGCATTTGCATAATCAATTTACGCATTACTTTCTCTGTGGTTAATGTACACAAACATGCTCATAGGCCAAACTTAAAAACTTCAACAGTCATACTTTTATAGCAGCTCAAGGATCTGTTAATCAAACAATAAAAGGAAAGAAATCGAGGAGGAAATTGTGTTCTTTCATATAGAAAGAGTATAATAACTAAGTTACTTGGCATCTAGCAAGACATTCAAATTAAATAAGATAGGAAGTTACATCTAACAACAATGACAATGAACATAATATAAAATCTTGTTAGGGTTTCTAGAAAGTACCTCGTCCAAAAGAAATTCTCGGAAAAAATTCCCCTTATCAGACAGCAAAAATGCTAGGGCTGCCCTTGTTTCCACAGGCTGCTGTTGAGGTATCACAGACTGGAATCCCGACAAGAGATATTCTGACCTGTTATTAACAATCCCAAGCTCAGCCATATCCCCTTTCAGATCCTCTCCACCTCCACTTTTGGCAGCTGTAATAAAATTCTCAAAGGCTTGCATGACATCGATAAATCTTTCAGCATCAAAAACTCCAGATTTCCCATATATAGTGTAACGTAGAGCACTCCTTAGCCGAGGGGATTCATCCGTCAGAAGCCTCTATCAATTAATGTGATTTGCATCAATTTAGTTTTACTCAGAAGAATCTAAACAGACTACACAGGCCAATAACCAGTGTGGTAATGCAAAATCACACAAGTTCAGTGTTCCAAGTTATAAATCAGACCATCAAAATGCATCAATGTGACTCAAAATAATTGATAACTTGTCATGGATGATGTTGAAAATTTTCCGATGGAGAATTTGGTCTACTCCACAAAAATGAAAGTATAAGACTAATTGTATTGAAATTCAAAAGTTATAATTTCTCATCCAAATTCAAAAGTTATAATTTCTCCCGCACATGCTGTCTAAAATAGTTATTTCTACCTCATATTGCTCCTCGAAACCTCGAAAACTTACAATTTCATCAATGTCCCCATTTTATTTCCAGACACTACAACAACAACCAAGCCGGGTCAGCATGGATCAAATTCTGTCATAAAATTCTATCAAAGATCATGGTTTTATCCGATTCGTTAGTTAATAACTTCTCTTATAATTTTCTTAAGTCTTCCTCTACCTCTATCTGTTTGACTCCCCTCTATCTTATCTACTCTCCATACCACATAATCTACAGGTCTTTTCTCTACATCCTCAAACCACCTAAGTCTAATTTCCACCATCTTTTCTACTATAGGTGTAACCTCAACACTCTCTAATATTGTCATTTTTAACCCTATCCCGTCTAGACTTACTACACATCCAACGCAACATCCTCATCTCTGTTACACTTACTTTATTCTTGTGTTGATTATTAGCCGCCCAACATTTTGTCCCATATAACATTGCAGATCTTACCGCAGTCCAATAAAAATCTTCCTTCAGCTTGAGTGGTACCTTTGTGTCACATAAAACTCCCGAGGTCATCCTCCATTTCAGCCACCCAACTTAAATTTGATGGTTTACATCATCTTCTATTTCTTGATCGTTTTATGTTACGGACCCAAGATACTTCTGGAGACTAGACAAAACAAATTTATTCCAATACAAATGTCATTGGCTTCATTTTTGCTGTGTGACATGGTAAACTAACTATGACAGCCCAACAAAATCTTGCTATGTACACCTTTCATGCAACTCGGGTTAATCAAATTCAAAACCAAAGGCTGATCTCATGTACTCCTTTCCTTCAAGTACAACTTGGAAAAATAACACTGACATGTGCCCAAAAGTTAAAAATATAAGCCAATATCTGGACAATGACAGATGGAAAAAATAAATTATGCCAGAGACCATTATACCTGTGCAATATATGGATAGGCTTCGTCAACAATGGCAAAATCAGGATTTCCAACTAAAGCTATCCCTTCAAGAACCCCGATAGCTCTGATTATAAGAGCAAAGTATGGGGGTATCCTAAACGGATAATCAAAGGTAATTTGAGCTAAATCTGATGCCAGATCTTGAAAATTTATGTTTTTTGCCCCTCCACCTTCTAAAGCCTGGTCAAATACTTTGGCAAGCACCGGCAAGATAGGCTCTAAATTGACTCCATCTGGAATGAAACCGAGTTTAACAAAGTCTTTCACTATGGCTGTATAATCTCGATGGATGAGATGAGCAATTGCTTCAATCATTCCATACTTTTGATCGTCAGTCAATTTCGTAACAAGCCCTGGGTGGAAACAAAGATAGATTTCCATCATATATTACAATGATTAGGATAGTGGAGTAAAAGCACCTAAACATCAGCAACATCCAGTAAAAAAGCAATTAAGTTGATAGAGACAAAAGGCAACATTTTGAAGAGCAATATCTAGCCATAATTGCAAGAACAATAAAGCACTTTTATCTTAAAAGTTTAAAGAATCATTGTCCAAAAGCTAAGAAAAAACATTCCAACTGGGATATGGCCTTCTTATTCATATACTGGGAGAAAAAAAATAAAGTTCAAAGAAAACTGAAAATTCCCTTTACAATAAAACAAATTGTTTTTTAGGCTAACCACAACTTGAGTTAAATTTCAGCATTAGCTATTGGAAGCAATTTTCTTATATTGTATAGTATAAAGATAAACAATTAAAATGGTTTCAAAAAATTCATAATTCATCTTTTTTTAAATAGGTCACTGTAATTATATATTGATATATGAAGAAAATAATCATATTTTTTTCTAAAACTGTTCATTTGCCAACAGACATTATCAAGGTCAGGACAGTAAACCAAACACTAGAAAGCAGAGAATTTCATAATGTCATATTGAGGAAAGTAAAGCAACAAAAATGAAAAATATAGGTCCCTAATGATCACATTTGAAGCAAACAGGGAAATTTTCACTTACAAATATACATTACAATGTTTGACTACCTAGTACCTACCAAAGTCAAGTATCGCAAGTTTTCCATCAGGAGTACGGATCATATTCCCTGGGTGTGGATCAGCATGAAAAAATCCAGTATCAAGCAGCTGAAATAAAATGAAAATAATTTTTAAATGGTCACTGAAGTAAAAATTGTAATTGAGTCCCTGAATTTCTCAACTGTTTATTAGATCGTTGTACTATATTTTTTTAATCAATCGCTGGATTTTTAAATAATTTGTAAATAGGTCTGAGTTTAGGAACCCAAATACAATTTACTTAAAAGTTTAGGGACCTAAAAATGCTTTCCTTCCTATTATTACCAGTCTAAATAATATCACTCATATTCACTAGCAATTATCTCACTCTAATGTACTAAGTGTGATCTCCTTGACATTGTATAACCTTACTGAATCTACCAAACCATGATTTAGATGATTGTTACAGCTCATATAATACTTTTTTATCTGAAAATAGTTTTGCAGTAAGACTTTCACAATATCCTAGTGGTACTGGTACCTCCATTTTCCTCCTTAAGAACATGATTATCGGTTGAAAGTTGGTGTTGCTACACAATTACCAAACTTTATGTGTCAAAAGCTGATGGATAATTGACTGGCAAAATGGTTCTCCAATTAACAGACGCTCTTAAACTAAAGAACGTTCTTCATCTTATTTGATTCTGTTTAGAGTCAAAGGTGGAGTACATTGTGTGATTTAGTGGAATCCTTTTGGGTTTTTAATGGGTTGTATGGATATCTAGAAAATGTAGTTAAGTTGTTTAAATAATTTGAAAATATGAAATATTGTAAAAAATTGAGTAGAACCCATTTAAAGAACTCAAATGGGTAAGATGGATGTGGGTGTTCATAGGCCTTTATTTTTGCAATTCAAACAAATATCTCTAAATAATTCATAGGTTAATGTGAAACCTTTGGCTACCAATCTTTCTTTTTGTCCTTTCAATCAACCCATCAGCTTTGTGTTGTACTGTATATAACAATTTGCAAGCAACGGGTTTTTTACTTCAGGTAAAATAGCCAAGACTTGTGTGTTTTATTCTTCTCCAATACCTCTAATTCTATACTTATGGATTGTTTCCACCTTTTATCAGACAATGTCTCAAACATTATCAGGAATGAAGGTGGTGTTCAGGTTTAAAAGTTTTGTGGATTGGTGAGAATTTTTCAAATGAGGTAGTCCGAGAGAGGCTAGTGGCTGTTTGCTACACTTTCTGGTTTCTTTTCAAATGGCAATTGTGAGGTTGGGGTTATCTTCAACAATTTGGGCTTTTATTTCATGTTGAGGGGTTGGAGGATGGGTTTTTGTTTCATTTTGAGAGGCTGGGCATATATTATGTAATGCTACAAAATCGGAATGTTACCTAATATATGAAGGAGTTGGATTGGACTCTCGAACATGTGCTGATTCAGGAATGACCTTTGGTGTTCTCTTGAACTCCAATTTTCTTTTCCAAATCTTACATCAACTTCAGGGTTCATGTAGGTGGCAATTGAACAAATGGTTGCTTGGACTCAGGATTAGGTACGTTTGACTCAAGGATACGAAGAGCAAGAATTTCAAAATAAGTTTCCTTATCTTCCTTTAAATTCTCCCACAAGATAAGGTTGTGAGAAATAAGTTTCATCCTCGTGAAGCATTACATCCCGAGACACAATGAACTTTTTGGATGGAGGAATAATATTTGAATCATATTTTAGTGAAGGAGCACCCAACTAAAAAAGATTAGAGTTATCTAGGGTCAGGTTTTCCCCTATCATAACTATAAAAATGAACAGTTGAGACACACTTATAGACCCATGGTGGAAAATTGATACGTTGTATTTTTCAATGAAAGCATGTAATGAAGATGTTATAAAAGCCCTTTCTTTCTCTAACACCTCCAGTTGCTCATCCCAAATCCTTGTCCTAAAATTCACAATAATCACTGAAAAATCATGGAGCATGATGAATCCTTTGTAAGTTTTTGTATAGAAACAAGGATGGTGGGCAGTTTTGGGACATGAAGAACATTTTCTAAGGACATGGAAAGATTAATCTGAATATCTCAAATTCTATCCATAGTTACGATTACAAGTGTACCATCTCCAGTAGCTATTCTCTAATTGTTTGGACTAGGGGAGTAAGTGGAGAAGTATTTAGAACTAGGTGCCATGTGGTTTGTAGCACCAGAAGCTAAAATTCAGAAGTAACTAGAAGGGTTTTGAGACATTAAATCCAACTAAAGGTGAAAATACACCTGAGTATGATGGTTTTTCCAGTTTGTTGAGAAAAACCCTCATCCTTTCTATCAACTCACGCTTTGATTTTGAGGAAAATAGACAAATAGAGGAGCAAACAATTCCAAGGGAATCATAGGCTCAGAAAAGGGTCAAACAAAGCGACCAACTCTCAAACAAGGTTCAAAAAAGACTACGGTCCAAACGAGGCCTAAATAGCAGTGGTCAACACTGCTCAAAGTTGGCAAATGGATCAATGCTGGTCAACTCCTGTGAACGGCACAGTGGAGGAAATTGAAAACTCTAGACAGCAAAGGACGCACAATTAAGTTCAAACAAAGTTTTACAGCACAAGGTGCCTAGTCAGGTGATTTGATAAAATTGCTTGCGGAAGCAGAGTCCCATAGATTAGGAGCTTTAATGCCATGCGAAATATAGAAAGAAATTTTTTCTTTATCTGCTTGAGTTGTTTGGTACACAGCAGCATGCTTGCTTAATTTATATATACATGAAAATTTCAATAATTGCAAAAGAGATATGCAATTTAGAAGGGAGCAGTTAAGCAAGAACTACTTCTTAAGATACATTGAACTTATTCTGCTTGCTATACAATGTATCTAAACTGCTCAAAAAGTGAACATTAAAGAGGTCAAGGAAAGTGGGACATTAATGAGGTTCTATTTCCAACAAACAATATGTTGCCAGTAAAAACATTCATATATAAGGGTTTGTTAGAATTTTCAACACACTATTTGTTTTCATATCTTGTTTATACTAATAATTATACAACAGGAAGTTGTTTTTGCCCCTACATAAATTTTTTAAAACAGGAAACAAAGCGGAAAAAAAGTGACATTTTGTATTTTTCAATGAAAGCATGTAATAAAAATAGATAAAAGCCCTAAACTATATAAAACAAAATAGTAACAGTATTAGGAAAAAAATAGCTTAAAGCACACTGGTCCCTAATGCAGTATAGTACCAGCTGAAGCATTAAAATAATGAATCACCTGTTTTAGGTAGCAGATGACTCCAACATTGACCAATTCTCCGACGTTGCTTTCTTTGCTCTGTGAAAGCTTCTCTCCATCAATCCATTCTGTCGTAAGAACCCTCCTTGATGTATACTTGCTGTAAGTCCTTGGAATTACAACCTGAAATTGATTTGTGATAAGATGCGAGCAAATTCCCCTCACAAGCATTTTTATAATTACTATAATGGTACAGCTCTCAAAGATAATTAACATTAAACAACATTTTGACAAGAGTGTTATCCAGACAGATTTTAAATTAACATTTTTCTTCAACTATTATCATACATTATTTGCATATGTATAGTGATGAAAAGGTGTACTATATATACAATTATTTATAGCTAAACATCAATTAGCCGCAACAAATTTATAACTCCAATGAACGGAATTCTAGCCTTATATTCTCAGAGTCAGTCTCATCATATCATCAGTAAGGCACGTGCAACTAGGTCCTCGGGCATTGGTACATATGAAGCTCATAAATAGCAAGATGATCCTATTATGTAAAAACTTAACCCTGTTTCTTTTATCTTAGTTATTATTAGATCAAATAAAAACATGTCAATAAGAGTATGTGCCACGCGAACAGAGAAAAGAAAGTAGCATCAGTGGGTATTTGTTAGCACCCAGTAATCCAACCTCCAATGTGGAAGGACTAAAATATGGCTTCAAGAAATCAAATGGATCCATTGAGAGCAGGCCATGTAAGCTGCTAGAGCAGTTAATTGGTTAGGATGTTATAACTTATTACATAGAAAGAAGCCGATTCATGTGTTGAGCAAAGATACCAAGCTCTTGAATCCTAGATAGAGTCTGTTATCATTCTTTCTCTCCCTAGCTACTCAAGAGAAACATATTGTTCCAGCTTGATTCTGTCAAGAATTTCTGCTTGATGTAAATACTGACATAAAACAGAGTGGGTTTGTTTCTGCCATAAGAAATAAGAAATTTTTGAACTCACCTGTGGCAGGTCTTTCTTCATCATTTCGGCGAAACGGTTTCCATTTTCACCTTCATTCACATAGTCTAACTCTTCAAAAAATCGAGCAGCCCATTCGTCAACCAACCCAACCACATCAATGGAGATCTAAAAAATTAGGTAAAAAGCAGTTGGGTTGAGAGGAGAACAACTATAATGAGCAATTGACTTAGAATAGTTAAATCACCAATATTAGAACTACGAAGCCATAAAAATTAATCAAATATACATACATGACTAAAAGTCTATGCTCACAAGAATTTAACTTGCCTGAGGAAACTTTCGAAGAGCTAAACCAAGGTTCCTGATAATGAATAAATCAATGGTAACAGTCTCTAGAACAAAAGGTCTTTGGACTTTAACAGCAACCAAATCCCCATTTTCCTTGAGGCGGCCCTTATATACTTGTCCGAGAGATGCTGCAGGTTTAACCAAAATATAGATACTTGTTGATCAGTTAACTCAAAAACCAGCAATGAATGAATATACATATATATGGTATGGAGAGCTACCGGCGGCAATGGGAGAGGGTGATAGTTCAGAATAGAAATTTTGCCATGGCTGACCAAGCTCCTCTTCAATTAGAGCCATAGCCACATCATCTGCAAATGAAGGAACCTTCACATTTTATGGAATCCCCCCACACCCCCAGCAAAAACAAAGGAACCTCAGCAAAAGAATGAGCTTACATTATCAGAAATGAAAATGTAATCGTTCAACTGCTAATGATTTTTCAGTATTTACCAACACATCAGCCTACAACTCTTATTAGTAGGGAACAATAGTTTGATCTAGCTATATAAGCTTAAGAAAGAAAAGTCGCTGCAGTGCAGAAAGTTATTTTGGAAATTAGAACATAAAACATAAAGTATGCAGCCAGTAAATTATGTTTCATTTTTCTGATATGAGGGAAAAATATTTTGTTTCTATGCTGCTCAAATTGACCTCAAACATAAATCACACTTGTCCAACCAATATCAAGTTATAAACTTTTTCCTCTAGCTTACTATTTCTCTTATGTATGACAATTTAGATTCATTTAAAAAGGAAACAATGGGATAAATAGAAGAGAGCATGCAATGAATAGGTAAAAGAGCAGCAAATCTTACTTTATCACAGAGCTTCTGCAGCTCCGTCATTGCTGCAGGTGACAGTATATCAGGTCGAATGCTCAATGCTTGCCCAAGTTTGATGTATGCTGGACCCAAAGATGTCACAATTTCACGTATTTCAATTGCCCTAGCAACTTCATTCTGGTTATGCAAAGAGCACAAATGAATAACCATAATATAATATGTAGAAATATATTTCTGAATATTATTTCAATTGTTTAAAGGATTATTTCAATTGTTTAAAGGGGTCAATCCACAGTCTGGAAACTTATAAAATTGTGTTTACAAATTCAGCTTATAAGGTCAGAACGGCCCAAGCTTTGTAAGCATTACTACTACACAGGCCACATCTTGTTCAAAAAATAAACTTTAGGCCATATCTCTAGGCGATGAGGAACTAAATTCAGCCCCTCACGCAACACAATGAAGGTGCTGGAGGCTGCAATTAAGGCAGTCCAAATTCCGAAATTAAGGTGGAGTAATTTCCAACACTATCTAAAACTATATTTCGAAAAAAGGAATATGAAATACAATATAAGGAACTGAAGCTGATTCCATAGGAAGCTTATATACTTAAATTTATGTATGACACAAGCTCAAGCTGTAAGCTCTTCCATACAGAACTGGAAATTTCTATTGAAAATTATGAAACTTCTGTGTGCAACTTGATCTATATCATTCACCTCAAATCAATACAATTTTATTGTTCTATGAATTTCTTTTCCTCTGTCTATGCCTTAAAGACTAAGCACAATAAACTCAAGAAAAACTAATTTTTTTGAACAGCTATAGACACAACAATAACTAAGAACATACTACAGGACTTAGATATAGTTTAGTAATACTATAATCTAATAAATTTATCTAATACGAATATAATACTTCAACTAGAGATCATCCCTATTTGAAAACTAGAAAACTTCTTACATATAAGATATATTAACACATATTCTTTCTATTTCTGTTTCTAGTTTTCGAATCCTCTAATTGGGATGATTTCTTACAGTAAAACTTCTATTTTTTAAATAAAAACTACTCTAGTTTAGGGGATGTTCTGTGTTTAAGAAACTTTTTAAATTTAAATATTTTTAAAATTTATAATAAATATGTAATTTATTTAGAAAAAGCAAAAGAGTTAAAAACAAGAAAAGGAAGCGGGGGAGAAAATTTTAAACCACCTACAACAACCACCACATCAAGAATGCATGCAGGCAAGCTGCTCGGTCTATCTAGACAAAGAAGAATTACCTCTTTAACCTTCTTGTTAATCACATCCCAGGCAACACGTGAAAGAAAACCTCCAGCAACAGATAGTAACTGTACAATGCGAGTTGCAACGGAGCGAGGACGTTTTCCCCAATATGCAGTAATGCTAGCTGGTTCATACACCAATGGTAAAAACTCACTACTTTCATCTACCTACACAGGTGAAAATTACCAAACACAATTATAATCCTAACCAGTTATTTTCCATTTGAAATAACTATCCATATCAAATAACACATATTCGACACAAAAAAAGTAGCTCATGCACTTGATTGTAATGAGTAATGAATATTCTTCATGAATCATAAATAGAATTTTGTATCCATTGAATACCTCAACAAGACGTAGCTGAACATCATCTTCAGCAAAGAGGGAATCTGAAAGATTCTGACCTCGAAGACCTCTCATAAGAGTCGCCAATTGTTCATCTTCTTCCATTTGCGCCCTTACTCTTTTAATCTCCTTGGAAACATCACCAATTCTCTGAACGAAATAAAAAACGCGCGACATTACATTTAGTTTCCAGCAATTAAACAAGAGCAATCGAACTCCAGAGAGAATTCAGCTGATAAAACAAAGAAAAAAAATCGTGAAAGTGAATTCGGAAAAATAGGAGCAGAAGAGTTAATTACCTGGGAGACACCGTTGACAGGTTTGGTAGGTGGAGACTTTGAAGACGAACCATTGACCGTAGTGACCGGAGCAGGTTTAGGATCGGTGGCGACAGCGGAGATACGGTTTGAACGGCGACGGAGAGAGAGGTTTTTGTGACGGTGGGAATGAGAGGAACGGAGGAAGGGATCGATTCCACGGTAGACGAGCTGCGATGCCGTATCCATGGCCGAATTCGCTCTACTCTCTTCTTCTTTTAGAGGGAGAGAGAGAGAGAGAGAGTTTTTGTTCTGTTATAGAGAGAGAATTGAAGGAGTGGTAGTTGTAAAGAGGGGATGAAGTTGTTGTTTGTGGTCTGAACGGTGACAAGGTGAAGTACTGAAAATGTGTAATGGTGCTTCACTTTCAGCCAGTAACAGCTACTTCTCTCGAGAGTCATTTAAATTTTACATGTTTATATATATATATATATATATATATATATATATATATATATATATATATATATATATATATATATATATATATATATATATATATATATATATATATATATATATATATATATATATATATATATATATATATATATATATATATATATATATATATATATATATATATATATATATAATTTGAATAAATATATAATTAAAAGAAAAGATATTACTTTTAAACCAAATATAAAAATATTTGTACTTATATATAAATTTTTAGGTAGCATTAATCTATATTGGATACCGGTATCTTTAACGTAAATTAGGATAAAATTTTAATTTATTTAGTAAACTTTTAGATACGATATATTCAAGTTGGATACTGGTATCTTTAGTGTAAATTAGGATAAAATTTTAATTTATTTTAAAATAAAAATAATAATATAGCATTGAATCCTGATATTGAATTAGTTAAGTGTACACATATTCAATTAAATTGGAAATTACCAAAATGTTCACCAATTTATTTAGGTGATTGTGAAAATATTTTTTGAATTGCGCAGATGAAAATTATTTTCAGACAATTAAGCTGAAACTCTTTTCAACGCCTAAAGACTAAAGAGTACAATAGAACAATAACTTGTTTGTTTGTGTTGGTGTGCAATTCACTTTTGTTCCTTATCCTTCTTATTAATAGAATTTTTATTTTGTTGTGAATCGGATGTCTTGAAACAAAATATAAACGGTTTCTTTATGATCAAAAACACACAAGGGTTAGGGTTAACAAAGATAACAAGGTAAAACAACAAGGAACAACAAGGATTGGTTATAAGCTGTTATTCTTTCCTTTCTCTTAGAACAAGATTACAAGTATACAAGAATAACAAAATAACGTCTCTTTCTTGAAATTAGGATTTTATCTTCCTATTTTTCCTTATTCCAAGATTGAGAAACTAACATCCTATTTATAAGAAAAATAACACGCTAACCTAATGGACTTTTTAACAATTACCCATTACAAGCTAACTTAGAGTACAAGTTAACTTAAACAATTGTACTTACAAGCATGACCCAATTCAACATGCTAACAACCCTAGTAATACTAACTAATGCGTGTTAAAACAAACTTCGACTACAACACACATTACTCCGACAACAGCATGCAAACATACTTCGATCTCATGCTTAATTTTTGTCGAACCAGAAGCTACCCTTAGACCATACTAGAGTTCGATCCAATATCTCACAATTCTCCACCTTGGATCTAACTCTATAACATCAAGGAATTAGCTTTCTTCATGCAGCTTTATCAACTGCATACAGTGGAAAAACTTGCAACTGGGCAACGTCTTGGTGATCATATCAGTAGCATTATGATATATCGAAACCTTCAGCACTTAGACTTCTCCATGCTTGATTACCCCTCTGATGAAATGCAGCCTCACATCAATGTGCTTGGTTCGCTCATGATAGGCTGAATTCTTCGACAGGTGTATTGTACTTTGACTATCACATTTAACAGTGATAACTCGACCTTGAAGTTTTAACTCCTTTGCAAAACCGTGTAGCCATAATGCTTCCTTCACAACTTCAGTTAGGGAAATATATTCCGCTTCAGTGGTTGATAAGGTAACATCTTTCTGAAGTGTTGTTTTCTAACTGATTGTTGTCTCAAACATAGTGAACACATATCCAGAGATAGATTTTCTAGAATCCATACAACTTGCATAATCAGAGTCGACATGTCCTTCGATTGCTGCTTTACTATCTTCACCCAAGGCTCTACCATAAATTAGGACTCTATTCAGAGAACCATTTATGTACCTTAAAATCCACTTCAATGCTTGCCAATGAGCCTTTCCAAGATTCGCCATGTACCTGCTTACAAGACTTACTGCATATGTTATGTCGAGTCTAGTACATACCATATCATACATCAAAGAACCTACTATGTTAGCATATGGAATGCTATTCATATAAGTTCTTTCAACATCAGTGTTGGGACACTGATTTAAACTCAGCTTGAACTGAGGGTTTATCGGAGTCACAACAGGCTTTGAATTTGACATACCAAATTTTTCGAGAATCTTCCGTAGGTATGCCTATTGAGATAAGCATAATTTTGACTGATTTCTATCTCTTTGAATGGCAATCCCAATAATCCTAGACGCAGCTCCCAGATCCTTCATGTTGAACTCCTTATTAAGTTCAGCCTTCACCCTCATTACATCTTCGACATTATTGCTTGCTACTATAATATCATCCACATAGAGCAACAAAATAACAAATGAATTACCCGGTCGAAATCTGAAGTAAACACAGTGGTCGAACTGACTTTTGATGAAACTTTTGCGTGTCATGAACTTGTCGAATTTCCTATTCCACCGCCGAGGAGATTTTTTCAGTCTATATAAGGATCTATTCAGCTTGCACACATAATCTTCCTTCCCTTTTTCGACATACCCTTTAGGTTGCCTTATCGGGATTGTTTCATCTAAGTCACCATACAAGAACACAATCTTTACATCCATCTGTTCCAGTTCAAGGTCGAACTGTGCCACTGCGGCAAGCAACATTCAAACGGATATGTGATTCACAACAGGAGAGAACACATCATTGAAGTTGATACCTTCTTTCTGAGTGAACCCCCTAGCAACCAATCTTGCATTGTCTCTCTTCGACACCACTCCTTCGATTCCTTCCTTAACTTTAAAAATCCATTTACGACTGACTAACCTGGCTCTAGCAGGTTTCTTGATCAGTTCCCATGTGTTGTTATCATGAAGAGATTTCGTCTCATCATCCATGGCCTTCAGTCATTCAGTCTTCTTTCGACTCCTCATAACTTCTTTATAGTATCTAGGTTCTTCGTCTAGAACCACACTTGCAGAGATTAAGGCATAAGCTATAAGATCTGCACACCCAAGTCTTTGAGGTGGCTTGATGACTTTTCTCGACCTGTCTCTTGCTAGCAGGTAGTCATTATCAGACTCCTCGTCTTCGACAACATCTTCTGCATCTTTTTCGACTTCATATGGGGCACGTAATTCAACATCAACATGCTCCACCTCTACAGGAATCTCTCCCTGTTCCAGCTCTTCATCAACATCATCAGTTTTCTTGAAAGTCGTCTCTGCTTCATTGAAAACTACATCTCGACTGGTGATACACCTTAATTGACCTAGCTCTAGGCACAAAAGCGTGTAAGCTTTGACTTCTTCAGAGTATCCCATGAACATGCATTTCAGAGTGTCATACCCCAAATTTTACCCTTAGACCATAAGACTCATTTCGCATTTCATTTTGTTATGTATTTCGTTTTAACTAACAGCTAACCGGTTTGCTCAGTCTGTTTGTTTTGCAGGAAAAATAACACTGTGTGCGCTTTAATTTAGGAAGTGCGGAAGGGTCGTTAATTTACAGTCTGTTGACGATTACGAAGCAAAGTCGTTATCAGAAATTCCTCAAACGATTAGGGTTTCTATCTCCGAATATGCGATTTTTATTTGAGAATGGGTTGAATTTTATAACAATATTGACGTCAGATTCCTCTTGACACAGTACATCTTTATTCGAGAACCTGGATTTAGTCGTCAGTTGGATTTTGAAATGCTGTTTGATTCATAAACCATATTGGAGTGGAGGGCGTTGAAATATAAATGAATTTGGGTGGAATCGGTGCGAGAATCTGTCTCAAGGAATTTATTCTAGCAAGCGCGTGTTTTCCTGTTTTTCTACTAGTTACAAGTTAATTTTCAGAGGAGCAGTGAAATTTCGGTTTGCATTGAATTCATAATAAATATTATTTGGTTTGATGACGAGTATCAGTTGAATCGATTCAGTTTACAATGTCAGGTTACTCAAGATACAATTTGGATTTAAATGCGGAGGAAAGTTCGTTTTTGCCACTAAAATGGATTTATCTGTTTGTCTATTCAAGGCCATATTCACTGATCTTATTACCGAGTATGGGTTAATTCTTTCAAGGCTCGATGGAACTTATCATTCGCATTAGACGTCAGTTAACTCTAAATTGGTGTAATCTATTAGTTGCCGAGTTCGAATTGTAAAATGTCAGGTTTTATTCAGATGGATTTGAGTCGAAAAATAATAACTCATTTTATCAAGGACTAGATTTAATTTATTTTTCAATTTTTGTAGAGATTGTGATTACAACATCATTCAGAATATTTACATTTTTGGAAATTACAACTTAAGTCCTAAAATCGTAAATTGGTCCTAAACGATCTAACACCGAAGTTCTTCATTCTTCATCATCTTAGAACTTCCGAACCTGCAAAACAAACAATATCAGGGAAACTTGTTATCAGTGGGAGTTAATTAATTAAAAAAATGGTTTTTAGTTGTTTTGACGCCCTCAGAAAATTCTCATCACTGGGCATGTCGGGAGGGCAACAAAAATATTTCGTCGCCAGCTCCCGATTCCATTTTTCGACTCCGACAAAAATCCGATAATTTATGTTCTTTGAGAGAGAGAGAGAGAGGGGGGGGGAGAGAGAGAGAGAGAGAGAGAGAGAGAGAGAGAGAGAGAGAGAGAGAGAGAGAGAGAGAGAGAGAGAGAGAGAGAGAGAGAGAGAGAGAGAGAGAGAGAGAGAGAGAGAGAGAGAGAGAGAGAACTTAATTTGAAAAAGTGATTTTGCAGCCAAACGGATCCCTTAGGGCAAACAATCCATCTCCAAAATACAGAAAAGTCCAGCAAACCAATCCGGATATCCAACAGTCACAAAACCCATATCCAAATCATATCGAAAAATAAACTGAAATCTGAA